GGGGCCGCACCACACAGCTCAGCCCCGCTCCTGCCGGGGCACTGGGTTGGGGCCGCACCACACTTGAGATAAATGTTGCTCGGAGCCTGCACCCCTGAGCCTCTCCCCATGCCCCAACCCCCTGGCCCAGCCCTGATCCCCCTCCCGCTCTCCAAACCCCTCGATCCCAGCCTGGAGCACCCTCCTGCACCCCAAACCTCTCATCCCCAGTCCCACCCCAGAGCCCGCACCCTCAGCTGGAACCTGCACCCCTTCCCGCACCCCTGCCCCAGCCCTGATCCCCCTCCCGCCCTCCGAGCCCCTCGGTCCCAGCCCAGAGCACCCTCCTACGCCCCAAACTCCCCATCCCCAGAGCCCGCAGCCCCTCCCGCACCCCAACCCCAATTTTGTGAGCATTCATGGCCCGCCATACAATTTCTATTTCCCGATGTGGACCTCAGGCCAAAAAGTTTGCCCATCCCTGTGATAAGGAATTAAAAATATAACCTAGAGATCAAAAATGTAGCAGTTATGGGAGTTTTCAAAGACAAAGTTACACGTCTACAGACTGCATATAAATAGTGCTTATCTTGGTAATCATAGTTGAGTTCCTGGTTCCTTTTGGCTGGATTGGCAGTTAATATACTGAAATGTGTCACTTCATTGACAATGCTTGTAAAGTGCTAGAGGAAAACAGGAAATTACAGGTGAAACTTTCTAATCTGTACTAGTTACTGGGAAACTCGTGGATTGAATTTTTCAAGTTCATTTCTTTGCTAACAAACGGATAAAAATTCAAGAGTACAGCATAATGACAAAGGAGACAGACACACAAATTCAGACAGAAGAGATGAAAAACGGAGAAGAGGATGGAAAGAATAGAAACGCATACCTGAAGATGCCTGGCACCACTTTTTCCATTGAGATTTAGTGATGCTAAATGTAATGGTTAGTTTCAGTAACTAAGGGCCTGGATCTTTTGGTAAACTTCGTTTGGCATAAGTGGGTATTGTCTTATGGTTTGAGCGTAGTATATAAGCATAACTTCGTGACTTACGCCTTAATTAAAAATGCAGTTTGGCCTTCGCCACATAGTGGTTCACATACTTGGTTGGTTTTAATTCCATTTTGGAAGTGCATAATATAATGGACGAAAGTGAGAGAAACTCACAAATGCAGATGAAGTAGCCTGGAACGACAATACATAGTGTCACTCTTTTATAAGGGGAGGAAACTTATTTCAGTATAGCCTACCTTAGTGATGGCAATTGTTTGTGTTACCATGTAGTATTTAAAAAAAAAAAAATTATTAGGGCAGCTGCCTTTGAGAACCAGTCTTCTTTCTCTTTGGATTATCAGCGGAGTCCTCTCCATTCCCTCAGTGCTCTATCGTATTGTGACCTTTCTTGGCTGCAAATAGATCTATGTTATTAGAGGTTGCAAACAGCTGCCGATATATGAGCTGCATTCTTGTCTATGGTTGAATGGAGCGGAAGCAAAAGTGGCTTTATGGAATGATTTTTCCTCACAGCCTTGAGAGGGAGGGGGGGTCATTTTTAGCTCCCAGTGTAACTTAGAACAGTCTCATTGTTTCTCTAAATTGTGTTGGCTGCTAACAGCCTTCAAGGGGCTGTTCTACGAGCCAGGGATTGCTGAAGTGCAACAATGCTGAGACCATGCCCTACATGTTCTCCACACACGTGAGGGCTAGCTAAGCTGGCTCTGAGGTGTCTGGTAATTCCTCTGTTTTGTGTTGCTGGAACATTGCAAAGCAGGAGCTATGGGGACGAAGGTCTGGCCTTTGATTTATAATTGTTTTCAGTGTCCTATCTCATAGAGCTGGAAGGGACCCTGAAAGGTCATCAAGTCCAGTCCCCTGCCTTCACTAGCAGGACCAAGTACTGATTTTGCCCCAGATCCCTAAGTGGCCCCCTCAAGGATTGAACTCACAACCCTGGGTTTAGCAGGCCAATACTCAAACCACTGAGCAAACCCTTCCCCCTAAAGTTATTATGTACTCACTGTAGGTGAAACTCACATAATGCAGAGGACCAGCACAAGGTTCCATGCTACTTAAGCCCTTTGCTGGGGCTGCCCAGAGTGGGGACTCCTGTACTCCCTTTGTAACATAGCTCTAATTTCTGCACCAGTCTTGCATAGAAGGTTTAAACAGAACTGGGGCCCTCACTGCACTGCACTGATGGAGTGGAGAGACTACAGACCTGCATTCTGTCTCTATGTTTGGGTGTGGGGGCGAAGAGATTTTGCTTCCCATCTTCTCAAACTCCCACATAAAACCAGATGGCTTAGGCTTTATGCAAATGCAGTCACGCACTGAATGACTTTTACTGGTGAGTTTTGTACACGCTAACTTGTTAGGTGGGAGCCCTTCAGGATTTGTATTTAAGGCAGGGACAGAATGAATTTCTGGCATGGCCTGTTCTAAGGGAATGTCCCTAAATGCTACTTTTGGAGTTGATCTTGAAGCCCTACCAATAAGGAAAAAAGGTGGCCTTGGGTTGAAGGTCAATGCCACACAGTGAAGGAGAAGGTAATTAAATTAATGATTCTGTTGGCAGCAGGCAGGGAGATAAGGAAGCTAGAGGCAAGATTTCACAGTCATACTTTATTCTATAACTGGCTACTGTGAGGTTCCTTGTTCTTTCCTCAGAATTAACTGGTATTGGTCACTGTCAGAGATAAGATACTTGAATAGGTGGACCAACTGCCCTGATCTGGTATGGTGGTTACTGTGGTCTTTCACTGTAGGTTCTTTATATACTTACTTGTCCTATAAGTTTTATCTATCTGAGGCATGCTCACATTTATCTCCTGCTTATGTGATGATTCTCACCCTTCCAATTGAGACACACCCTATTTAGAGTTGATGTTGGTTAAGATGGGGCAAGTCATTGGTGGATCATTCCTGAAAAAACAACAACCTGGCTTTGGACCACAGAAACAGAGTGAAGCTTGGGTACTTGCACAAAGCAGAGTGCATGGGGGCCCTGTTCCCAATGAGAGGTTGCCAGGATGTTGACGTTGATCAGCTGGAAAATGGGAAAAATCTAAAGATCAGGTGGGGTATGGGCATGATAATTCTTCTGATTTTAAAGCCTATCATGCCAGTATCATACCAAGCTCAGGCAGAGGGGCTTCTTCAAAACTGCCAGCCTAACGTACAGGAAACCAGATTGCAAAAATGTCCCTTGTTTTGCTCCTTTTTACCTTCTCTCTTCTTGTTCCTTATGTTGCTCACCCGTCTGCTAAGGCTTCTCTATTAACAAATACTCACCTGAATGTTTGTGTCTCTTCTTTCTCCCACAGCTCTCTCCAACAAATATACCCTGCAGAGTGGTGTCCAGCTTCATCTCTTAGTATTGTTGTACTGTTACTTTACAGACTTTTGATATTTAAAAATCAAGGTTTCTCTCACCTTCCTTAGCTATTGCATAGCTTAGTCCAAGGGTGAGTCTAGTACATTGCCATATTTCAGTGGCAAAGGACATATCTGATGCATGGACCTTCTTATTTTAAAATAATCAAATACTCGGAAAAGGCAAGTTCTGGATTTTTATTGGAATAGGGAGTTTTTAGTTGCAGACTATGATGTCCAAAATCCAAAGTATAAGACACCAACTTATATAATATGTGTTAAAGAAATCAAGGAAAGTGTACAAACAGCTAAGGAGCTACCATCAAAGGGGTTGCTCCCTATAGCCAGTGAAGTAAAGGGGATTTAAAAAAAAAAAAAAAGTGTGTGTAGCATTTCAGATGAGAACCACACACTATAAAATTGCTTTGGTGGGTTTAGCAGCCTTGCCCTTTCCAAAAAATCAGTCAGAGGCAAGCGAAGACTGCAGCAGAGTAATGAATAATGGTGGGAGTAATTTTCTGGTCTGTAGTGCTACTTGAAAGAAAGTTGGGAAAGTGGGAGGATTGAGTTGATCACCCCCCAGATTAGGCTATGACTACAGTAGTGTTACAGTTCTTTTTGTAATGAGGCTGTGGCATGCTCATTAGGGCTAAATTGTATCTGTGCCATAATGTTTCACAAGACTACCCTATATTGACCTTGTTTGCATGGCCACAGCTACTTAGCTACCTAATCAAGTTTGCATCCGTGCTTATGGGAAAGTATGGATTATGTGCACAGAGGCCAAGCAACACCATCAACATTATGTTGAAAGCTGGGAGGATGGAGGACTAGCCAATCAGTTATACAAGCTCTGTTAAGCAACTTTGTCTAATGTAATAAAATAAATGTTATGACCTGGCTGCAGGAAAACAATTGGACATTGGTAGGGGCGTCATGTAGTTAGCAGCAACTTCCATTAATCGAGTATAAACCATGTTGTGGTGTAGACACTAAACATATTTAGAGCCAACCATGTCACTAATTGTTTAGAAACTTGTCTCAAAGTTATGTTGTTGACTTGTGGGAAGGGGGAGCTTTTGCCAAGCTGCTCCAAAATGTTCATGTACTTTGGAACTTGCTTCCCCCTGGAATACAATAGAGTCGGAGTAAGTCATCCTTCCATGCACATCTGTTTATACTGGCTTTTTCTTAGGAGGTGGAATGAGTTCAAATGATCCTCTTTTTGCAGGTGGAGGAAAATAAAAGGGAGTGAAGTTCTTATAATGTCACTTTTTTACTACTTGAATAATTTTTTTTTGTATTGTGCAAGTACACCTGGGTTGGTGTGATAAGCACGTTGTAAATAAGAGGAATTCAAATCTAAGGCTAACGATCTAGGATTTTTAATTAACTCAGATTGCTTTGTCTGTGTGTTTCTAAAATGGACTATAAAATTAATCAAATGTTTTTGGAGACTTACTACCTTCTACTGCACAGCATGTTTACCCTTCATGAATGTGGTGCCTAAATTCTGCCAAAACACTTAAGATAAGCAAAATATTGGAAATAGTTTATACTATTATAGAACAGTTTCTGACTATAGAACAAATGATAAAATTCCTTAGAATAGCTCCATTAACCACTGCTGTATGTTTCATTGCAGATGATTCCACAGATGTTGGAGAAGAAGACAGCTTCTTGGGTCAGACTTCTGCTACTCCTAATCCACCACAGACTTTTAGCTATTTTTCCCAGGTACCTAGTAGCAGTGATCCATTTGGAAGCATAGGGCAGCCACCCTTAACAACAGTGACACCACCTGTTGGGCCATCAGCCTTCTCCAAGGCTCTAACTTCTTTCCCACTCTTGCCTGGATCACAAGAGGGGCAGAATGCTTTTGTGGCAAGTGTTCCGAAGTCACAGTCATCTTATAGTGCACCACCTACTTCCCTGGTGGGAATCAGTGCTTATCAGACTCCTCCAGAGAGTTGTCCCCCACTTGCAAACTTTTCTACTCCTCCCCATGGAACGTCGCAGCAAGGATATAACCCATATCGCCATACCACCTTAAGCAGTAGAGCTAATCCTTACATAACTCCACCGCAGCTGCAGCAGAGTCAGACACCAAGCCAGCTTGTTCAGCCACCACCCTCTGTACCACCTATCCACATGTATCAGACCCCTCCAGGATCATTGTCACCGGTATGCAAATAATCTTTGATTTCTTGGTGTTAATATAGAATTATTTCAGATTGTTCTATTTTAATTATATTTTTCCTTAACCATAGTCTTAATTTTCTCTGTTTTATTTCTGCTTCATGTTACACTTTAACAGAGTAAGAGAATCTTGAGTCCTTTTGCCCTCTGATATCAAAATGTCTTCACTGATCTAGGACCAGTGCTTTGGGAAAGTTTACTGATCTACTAAGTGACATCTTCAAAGCCACATGATTTTAGCAGCTAGACTATGTAACAGATAAAATCCTGAATGCCTGAGCTCTTGTGATTCTCAAGATAGCTTTTTTTAAAATCCTTTGGTTTTGGAAGACAAGCTGGTAGTCAGAATGATTTCAGTTTTAAAGGGATGATGTTAGGTTAAACATGTCTTCTTACATACATTTTCCTGCCTCTGTTGCTCACTAGGGAAAGAAGGTATGTGTCTATGAGTATATATATGTAACATTGCCAAGCTAATGATACCTGAACAACTGTTACTTTTGGAATTTGAAATATTTTGACTTTTTGGGTGCTTGATCTTGCCACCTCTTCTCACAGTAACATGAGGCTGAAATCTTTGGTCCCTTTGATGGCAATGGGAAAAACTCCTTTTTTGCAGTTTGGGCCTGATCCTGAGAGGTCATCAGAATCCACAACTCCTATGAAGTCTAAACCGAGTTTAGAACCATAGTGCTTCTCAGAATCAGGACTTAAATTTCTTGAGTCACTGGGGTAAGGATCCACTTGTCCAGATTCATTTGCAGGATTGGGGCCACAGATTGTGTGTTCTTTGAACCCAACAAGTACAAGCCACTCACTGAAGTTAGCTGTGAACGCTTGCATTGGTGTATCCATGTCTAAGTGAGCAGCTAACAGAGTATAGATATGTATATAGTGCCCATAGGAAAGAAACTTAAAATAAACACGCTGAGCCTGAATCTTCAAACGTCAAACATTTATTTTAAAACAACTTTTTCAAATGAAGGAAAGCACTTAGGCCATCACAAGTTTGAAACTTCAGCAGTTTTAGTTGATTACTTTTTCTGAGAAAAAGGGTCATACAGTTTTTGCTCTTTTTACTTCTCCATCTTTTCTGAGAACAGAAAAAGTCAGATCTTTAACTTGAAATAATATGGATTTTTAAAATACAATCAGGTGGAGATCCTGTATATAAAAGGTGTATGCCAAAAAGTTAATATTTTGGAAAGAGGGGAGCATGTGAGAATGACAAGTGAGAAAAACCTCCTAAATGAAATATAAAATATACTCAATAAACATAATTTGAGACTGAGATACTTGAATCATCTGTAATAAAACTACTGTATTTTCAGTTTCCTCATTCACAGCCGGCACTACCATCACCATCACAACCACTGCAAGCTTCCAGACCTGCAGGTCCACTGGTGCAGGCACCACCTGTTTTGCTACAGAACCAATATGAACCAGTTCAGCCTCATTGGTTTTACTGCAAGGAGGTGGAATACAAGCAAATATGGATGCCATTCAGCATTCTAGATTCTGTAACACTAGAAGAAGTTTATAACTCTGGTAAGCAGTGAAACTTGCTTTACATCTTATTCTTATATTGTGGCTGCTTGCCATTGAATGTGAAGATAAATGCAAGAGTTCTGTGGCTCATTTATAAAGATGAAGAAGGAATGCTGTGAGAATGTTGGGTGTTGGCTTATATTGAGAAGATAAACTTGAACCAATCTTTTCTACTAATCCAGAAGTTTACTAGGTTGGACGTTTGCTACTTGGCATCATTACTATTGAGGCTTACAGGTCTAATATATATGTAACCATCCCACAATAACAAACTTGCTGTGCTGCATTTCTCTGTGATTGTATGCACTATATTTTTTCTTAGCTCTGCCTTACATCTTCATTCTTGTGGGTGGGCAAAACATCAATCTTTTTGGGTTGAAGATCAAGGTGGATTTGATTTACCGTATATACTCGTTCATTAGCCCGTTCGTTTATAAGCCGACCCCCACCCCCTCAAGATGGATAAATAAAAATAGCAAAAACTGTATGACCCTTTCATAAACTGACCCTATATTTCAGGGGTTGGAAAACTTTGGCTCCCAGTGTGTCAGGGTAAGCCGCCGGGTCGGGACGTTTTGTTTACCTGGAGTGTTCACAGGCACGGAGCCCCTCAGCTCCCTGTGCCCGCGGTTTGCCGTTCCCAGTCAATGGGAGCGGCAGACCGCGGCCACAGGGAGCTGAGGGGCTCCGTGTCTGCAGACGCTCCAGGTAAACAAAACAACAATGTATTGGATATTCAACTCAATGATTCCATAGAGTTTAAAATTATCAAATTTTGGTGTAGTCCCTTTTATAAACTGACCCCCCCGCTCTTTGATGCGTCACTTTTTTACCAAAAACATTCGGCTTATGAACGAGTATATACGGTAAATCATTTAAATCACTAGTCAGGAAGACTCGATTTAATCATGGATTTCTACATAAAAGTGCATTCTTGTTGGTTGTTATAACCTTAATACATATTCTTCAGAACTCAGAGATAGATGTAGGTTTCGTTTTTAGAAGGCACACACTATACATTTTTAAAGTGATTTATTTTGAAAACTTTTCAGATCAGTTTTACAGCTATATCAGAAAATGAATGATTGGTTATTTTATTTACGAATGGTAATTGAAGCAGATATTTATGAAGTCATTGGGAGGTGAACTATCTCCAATTCAACAGGTTAATCATTAATATTTGGAGGATTTTCTTGCCATGCTGTATTAGGAGGAGAACATCACCAGGCAAACATTTAAATTGTTTTATTTAACTAAAACAACGACGTTATGTATTTTGGATTTTTTCTTCAACAGCAAACACATAATATTTTAACAAAACAACCATATGAATTTTTGAATTTAATTAAACATTCAGGTTTTTTAAAATCAGGTTTGTTTTTGTTAAAATTGTTTTTAACTAAAATAGTTAAATGAAATTAAAAAAACCCCACAAAAATGAAATGGACTGTGTCAGCCAGGTCAACATGAGAAACTTAAAATATTGGCTTCTGCAGCTAAGTCAGTCGTCTTCACCTTCATTTTCCTGTTTGTTCATAATCTGGAAGAGAAAAACAAGCTTTCCTGCTTTTTCAGGTCCCAAACGATTTGTCAATTTGGAATGAATTAGTCCAAAGGAAGAAAATATTCTTTCTACACTGGCAGAAGCAGCTACTGCTGTTGAAAGTGAGATTATCACTTTAACAGTCTCTGAATCCAAGTGCTTAAGTGACTTCCATCAGTTCATTGGTGTGACTTTCTTTAAAACATCATCAATAAACATATAGTTCTTGAATGGTTCTCATTCCCAAACTGGGTCTTTTTTATGGCCTGCTGCCATTATAGGTTTTCCCTTCTAGTGAGAGAATGGTATGGTAGATCTCAAATCAATGAAGGCTACACTCAGAAAGACCTCAAGCCTTCTGGAATATGCTGCTCAAACAGCATATTCTTTTGTTTCTACTGCCTGTCCCTCCCTTCTCACATTTATCTCCAGACTTCTCCTTGTCCAGATCTATTCCGCCCCCAACAACCTTCTATTCATTGAACTTTTTGAAATTTTGCACTTTTAGAGAGAGGTAAGGGATTGACTGTGTGTACACAAATTCGCAGATTTGTTATTTCTCACCTCTATGTATTATTTATTTATTTAAAAGCATTTTTGCTGTTAACAAGCATGTTATCTTTGGAGACACAAATCCACAGTTTGATAACTGCAAAACTAAGCATCTCTGATGGTATCTTCTAGACTGAGCACTGAGTCCAATTGGGTAGATAGAAAGATTAACCTAAATAATCTATACAGATGCCCCTGGAATCCCATAAGATTGGAACATATTTACAAAACTTTTCTTAAACATTACATTAATATATTGTCTCATACTATAGAATTAGAATTTATAATCCCTATTCCATGATGAGATATCTCTGAGCTATAATGTATTTTAATAGGTTTTTCCTCAAAAAACATTTTATCAAAAAAATCTGATTTAAATAAAAAAATTCTGATTTTTATTTATTTATTTATTTATTTATTTTTAAATCATTGATTTTTATCTACCCTGTTGAAGATGATAGAGCAGAGAGCATATTGGTCTTTCAGAAAAGAGATGGTTGGTCTAACGATTAACCCTATCCGTCTTGACAGCCATGTCTCTTTAATTTATTTTTTCCAGTAATTGGAGATAAGAAATCGGTCAAGTTTATAATAAGTTATTTTCAAGGATACGATAGAAACAAATTTATAATGGGAAATATGGCAAAACATTCCACTCGCACTAAAGACCTTTTTATTAGAAAGTAGCAATGCTAGAAGAGTGTGATTTCAAATGGATTTACTTATCTTGATATCTTAGCCTTTACAGGCTGATGGCCCAGCTTTATAGGATAGTTATTGATGAAAAATGGAAGTTATTAGCTGATTCTAGGTATGTGTGGGTGAAGATTAGGGTGGAATGGGGTGGTGGTTCTCAGGGCAGGCTCCAGGGTTTTTGCCGCCCCAAGCGGCGGGGGGGGGGAAAAAGCCGCTTTCTTCTTCGGCGGCAATTCAGCGGCAGGTCCTTCCCTCCGAGAGGGACCCACTGCCGAATTGCCTCTGAAGAGCCCGACGTGCCGCCCCTTCCCCTTGGCCGCCCCAAGCACCTGCTTGCTGAGCTGGTGGCTGGAGCCGGCCCTGGTGGTTCTGCAAAATACCACTCAGTCGAATGGGATCTGCTGCACATAATCAAGGCAGTGAGAGTAAACTTTCAGGCCTCAATGTGTTACACACTACAGTAAGCAAGATAATTTAATCTGAGAGGTGGATACAGAATTAGTATTGTTATACAGCGTACAATATGTAGAGAATTTCTAGCAACTACTTGACTGTTGATTGAGGAACTTGCCTGTTCACTGTTGTTCTAATGCCTTCCAAGTTTTCATATGATTTCTCCTCCTGTTTGCCCTCCTTCCTTTTGTGGTCTGTTTTCATTTTTCTGTTCTGTCCATCCTGTGGTGCTGTGCTTTTCCACAGACTCCACTCACTTCAGTGTACTAGCACGCATCTGAAACTGAGTAGAATCCTTATCTTTGAGGCACTTTACTTCATAGATCAGGATAATGGCATATTTTACTCTGCTCTCAGCCTACTGAATTTCATAATGGAATGAAGTGGAGCAACTGGAGAAAGTGGCACACCACAGTATGTCCAAACAGGTCTTTCCCCACTAGTGTTTCATTAACATCCTTTGTTCAACAGAAAAAATAAGTACCTCCAAGCTGTCACTCCTGAAAATGTTTTCACTCCTTTATCTAAAAGTGTGGAGAAGTACATAAATTATGAGGAAAGCGATAAAGGCAGAGGTTTTGAACAGAGTTCAAAACAGCGTAGGTTACTGTTTTAATTGGTTAATGTCAGTCAGGATGCTAATCACTTTCACAACTTTCAAAGAGGAAAGCACACATTACTATTGTGACAAAGCATGAATTTTGTATTCTAGTTCAACCTGATCCTGAGAGCGTGGTTTTGAGCACTGATGGGGGGCGCTATGATGTTTACCTGTATGACAGACTAAGAAAAGCTGTATATTGGGAAGAAGAGCCATCTGAAGTCAGACGATGTACATGGTTTTATAAGGGAGACAAAGATAGCAGGTTTATTCCTTATACTGAGGATTTCAGTGAGAAGCTAGAGGTCAGTATTACTTTTAAGTAAACATAACTAAGAACTTAACCTAACAATTCTGAGCTATTACCTCTCTTCTAGGAAAGCTTTTACATTCCTGGTTGAAATTGTATTACAGAAAGGGGCTAAATTAGTATTTTCTAATGCACAAAGTGGGGCTTTGTAAGATGCTTTAAGACTCACTTTTGTCCCTTAGTGCTTTTGGCCTAAAATATATTGGGGGGAGGGATAGATCAGTGGTTTGAGCATTGGCCTGCTAAACCCAGGGTTGTGAGTTCAATCCTTCAGGGGGCCACTTAGGGATCTGGGGCAAAATCAGTACTTGGTCCTGCTAGTGAAGGCAGGGGGCTGGACTCAATGACCTTTCAGGGTCCCTTCCAGTTCTATGAGATAGGTATATCTTCATATATTTATATTTATGCAGTTGCCAGATTATAACTTGTCACATTATAGTGCTGTATATCCCTATCATTTTCCCTACTGTAAATAAAATTATGCGAGTAGTGTCCTAGCATATTCTAAAAGCTTGTCAACCTGGTGCATTAGTGCAGTGTGATACCAGAGACTAGCTTTCTGCTTTCCTAAACTGTGTCAGGGAGATCTTGGGCACGGGCGCCAGTCCACAGACCAGTCATTGAGAAATACTGCATTAGTGCACACCAACTGGGTTGTAAATTCTGGGGATGCACCAGCATGTCCTGCACTAAAAATTTCCTAGTGCACATTGACATAGTGCTGTTTGAAACAGGATTACATCACTGTGCACTAGGGAACTTTTAGTGCGTGCCAGCAGGGTTCACACATCCAGGTCATGTGTGACACACTGGTGCACATGAGAATATACACCCCAGCTGCAGTGCCCTAGTGCACCATGTAGGCAAGCCCTAACTTTTGGCTTGGCATGTTACATGTAGTTAGTCTAAACAGACATACTGGTTTTACGTAACTTGTCTATTGTTGCAGGCAGAATATAAAAAAGCTGTAACTACGAATCAGTGGCACCGGCGACTTGAATTTCCAAATGGGGAAACAATCGTTATGCATAATCCTAAGGTAATGCTAGCTATCTGATTTTTAGGTCTTTGCAGTGTAGCATGGAATTGAGTGCTTTTATATAAAGCATAAGTTGAATGCAAATTTAGCATGTGGAGTTTTAAAAATGCACTTATCCATTGCTTTGGGTATGTGTACATTAAAAATAATGTTTATAAACTCTCCTTACCCCAACAAACTATCAGAAATAATAAAAATCATCCTCTCTTCTAAAACCTGAGAGATTTTGCAATGTAACCACAAAGTTAATACATTTGGATGTTCTTAGGCCACTGGGGAGGTGGGACAACTTTTAAAGTCAAAGGCCTTTTGATGTGAATACCTGCCAGCAGCTCCCAAGTGGTTAAATGAGGGATTGTCAGCTCAGCTGACCTTGGCTATTGTGGTATCATGTGAGGAGATATGCAATAGATTTTAAGGCCAGAAGGGACCACTCTCGTCATGTACTTTGAACTCCTGCATAACACAGGCTAGAAGAGCTCTGTGTGAACTTGAAAGCTTGTCTCTCTCACCAGCAGAAGTTGGTCCAATAAAAGATATTATCTCACCCACCTTGTCTCTCTAATATCCTGGGACCAACACGGCTACAACACTGCATATAACACAAGCTATGATGTTTCAGCTAGTAAATCCTTCAGGTAGGCAGCACTCAAACCATTACGGGCTGTTTGGTTTAAAACCTGTACCTTAAATTGCACCAAACCAATGTAGATTGTGGAATGCAGGTGTAACATGCTTCTAGCTGAAAATTCAGGTAAGTAGGCAGATGGCTGAATTCTGTAGTAGCTCAGGTTTCTGAATTGACTTACACTTTTTCACATGGGGCAATATCTTATCATAATGTTGTCACTTTGAGACTGATTTATTGTGAGGTCTGTCTCCTGAGAGAAAAATATCTAACCTGCTAATCAAGTGTGGGCATGACGAAGTATGAAAGGTACTCTTGGGCACTGCAAACCTGAACCAATCAGCAGGCCAACTTCCCCCAGTTCTGGAAGACAACTTGGTAAAGGTTATTTTGTCTAGTTACTTCCCCCAAACCAGCAAGAATTACTTAAGTCTTGTTTTAGTTTAGTTTTAGTCGTCTAGCCACTCACCCAATAAAGCATAGGAATAATAGCGAAAAGCAGAAAATGTATTGGAGTCAGTCACAAGAGATACATTTAGTGAATGAGAAGAAGTATATTAAAACATACAGTACCTTCATACATTCCAAGGCCAGAATTTTCAGGTAAACAGACTAGAAAATGAGTTTTCCTTGTTTAAAGTTAGACGATATATTTCTTTTCAGGTTATAGTTCAGTTCCAACCTTCTGCAGTACCAGATGAATGGGGGACCACACAAGATGGTCAGACAAGGCCAAGGGTTGTAAAGCGTGGCATTGACGATGATCATGATGAAATTCCAGATGGTATGTGACAGGGCACATGTGGACTGCAGTGGGAGAGTCCTCCTGAATCCCTCTTTTTTTTGCTTGTGGTTTATAAATCAGATTGATCAAAGTTTTGCAAAACAATCGCGCTCTGCCCCAATATATTTGTCAGACGGACAGTGTTTCCAGGAGAGTGCCACTCTTACAACCAAGAGGAAAGCAAGTGTTACCAGTGCAACCATCATTGCATATTATTGGAGAACATTGTTTGCTTTTGTAAGGGTCAGTCAGTTGCTCCTTGCCTACAAATAAATCTTCCATTTTCACAGTTAAATCGGCTTCCTAAATCTGCCTCTGGGATTTTTAGGCTACTCCATCCCATAATTCTGAAAAGTTTTGAAAATTAACAGTACTTAGTTTTCTGCTAATAGATGTAGACAGTGTGAGAGTATAATCTGACTGATGGTAGTATTATGCTAATTGTATAAATCTTATACTGCTTTGGCTGGAACTACAACTTTTCCTTCACATTTGAACAAAAGACCCAACATGGTCATCAGTCTGAGGTACTTGAATTGCTTTTAAGTGTGTACTACTTTGAACTTGCACTGTACTTCCATAGATGGGCAGGTTCTGAGGCATGCATAAATATATGTATAACTATAATGTATGTATAACTATAATTCCACACTTTCTTGCATGTGGAATGACACTGGCATTGTAAATAATAAAGACAGGAAAAGTTAAGTAAAATTGGAGTGGTGGCAAGAAATGGGTTTTCTTACTTATAAAAGAAAATTTGTAGGTGAAATTGTATCCTGGGCCACATTATTACTGTCCTGTCCTAAACCCCTAAATACTTGTTATATAAAACTACATGACTAAACTGCCTCACTGTGAGCATAATCAGATACTAATATTATTTGTTCTTTTGCTTTTTATAGGGGAGATGTCTCAAATAGACCATTTAGTGTTCATGGTTCATGGCATAGGTCCTGTGTGTGATTTACGGTTTAGAAGCATTGTTGAATGTGGTAAGTCTTTAATCATAGATTTATTCTTAAGTATTTAAACTTGGGTTATAGTTCTCTTCATTAATTGAATTCTTTAATGTGGTTTAGACAGTTTTTATATTGCTTTTGAAATGTTATTTGAACAATGTGTTAATTTTAAGAACTGCAAATATTTCCTTATTTTGAGAAAGAAGCCAAAAATGGAAAATAGTATTGGTTTTTCCTCAAAATGGTCATTGATAATTTTAGCTATTGCTATGAGTCCCTCAACACTAAACTCATATTTTTATAAGTTCATGTATAATGATTGAAACATCTTAAACATTTAGGGTAAGACTTTTGCCTAATAAATTTATATTCCGTATTTATTCTAATCAAAACAAAAAAAAACCCATAAAAATATATTTGATCATGGAACTAAATATGGTTTTATTTGGGGATACACCAAATATAACTTTGAACTAGATATTTAACTATTTCCTGACAATTTTCTTAAACCTACATAAGTAGTTTTTGTGAAATGTTGTAACTTCTTTTAAAAAAAAAAAAAAAAAAAAAAAAGATTAAATGGGGAAAGAGGACTTTAAAAATGTTCAGTATAGTTGAGAAACATATTTGAAATCCTGTTGTGTTAGGCCTTTGTTTGATTAACATTAATATCTGATTTCCATTACTTCCCTCCCACCACCATCTCCCAAGTTGATGATTTTAGGACTGTGTCTCTGAAACTGTTGCAGACTCATTTTAAGAAGTCTTTAGAGGAACTTAAAGTGAGCAGAGTTGAATTCCTACCGGTTCACTGGCATAGCTCTCTACATGGGGATGCGACAGGTGTAGACAGGTCTGTATACAGTATGGTACCACTATGCACAGCGTCTGTCATACAAATTGCATAATACAGTACTTTATAGAGTTAAGGAAAATGAATGAGAAATTACTACATACCATAAAGGCAAGGTAGATAAACATGGTCTGATAACAATAGAATGATTCTTCTGTAATGTTTTAGTTGAGAAGTTTCTAAACAGTGGGTGAAAGAACAAGCTGGATGATCACATAGTGCTGACTTCCCTTATTTCCAGCTGCTAGCCTTCATTAAAAGATAATAGATTAAATATTTTCCTGACGTTTCTTTTCCACATAAGCAATTGTGTTAGTTGTCATTAGAGATGTTATATGATCATGAATAGGAAGGAAGATAATGAATAAATATGGTAACCATTTCCCTGATGGGTATTTCACTCATCATTTCTACAACTGAGTGCAGTAAAGAGGGTTAATATGTATTGTCTTTTCAAATATTAACCTTTCCTCTTGTCACTGCTTGTCCTTCATTTGTAACCTCCCTCTTTGTAGTCCCATTCTTATTGTCTCTTCCCTCCCTGTTTGCTGTATTCTCTCTCTTTCCTTTCTGGTGCAGGTGGTCAGGAGGCTGTACTTCATTTCACCTCCTATTTTTATACACAGTCGTTTCTCCCCATCCCCACACCCTTGGCAACAGGGCAAAATTATAATGAAGTAATATCACAGGTTTTCCCTTAAACCTAGACATGACATAAAAGGTTGAGAGACATATAAGTTCCTTAACATAGAAATAAATACACTAACAATTTAAAGAGAAGGTATTGGCACTAATGTATGAGTTTGAGTTGAGACCAGAAAGTTTTATTTTGGTTTGAGGAGAACATGACTGCTATGGTTAGGGTACTCTGAATTGATTGCCAGATGGTTAAACCTTCAAAACTTTGGAAAAATGGAATTGCAAAGCTCTTATAAAGACTTTTAACATAATCATTCTACAGCTAAAATTTTTGCACCACCAGGAATATTAAAAAAATCACTTTGCCAAGCATTGGACGTCTGCGCCACTTCACCAATGAGACCTTGCTTGATATACTGTTTTACAACAGCCCAACCTACTGTCAGACCATTGTGGATAAAGTAGGCCTGGAAATGAACCGCCTACATGCACTTTTCATGAGTCGCAACCCAGACTTTAAAGGAGGAGTCTCTGTTGCTGGGCACAGTTTAGGTAATCTACTAATATATCTGTTTACTTTCTGGGACAAAATAGCATTGCTAGATAGAGAAAAATGCAAACTACGTTTAAGCATGGGGAAAGCTGGCCTAATAGACCATAATGGGTTTCTGGAGTGTTGTTGGCTACTCATGCAAAATGTCAATATAGTCAGGTTATAATACTCAATTCTTAAGAGGCTTTATGATCTAGAGGTTAGAGCATAGAGATGGGAGTCAAAAGACTTGGATTCTAGTCTAGTCTTAAAAAATCAATTTGACATGTGACAATGGGTTAGTCACTTATCTTCTGTGCCTGCTTTCCCCAGTTGTAAAATGGGGATAATATTATCCTACTATGCGTGCCTTATGGGTATTATGAAGCTATGAATTCCTGGCTGTGTTGTTTGGGCTCTGTTCCTCCAGTCCTGCCTCTAGGAAGAGTCCATAACCTGAGGTAATGAGTAAAGGTGATGTTGGCTATTGTAATTGCTGTTCACGTGAACCAGCTTTAAGTAATTCCTATACGCTAGGAATTCTCACATAAGTGTACTATCTAAACATTATGTTTCTTTTTGTTTTTTAATTTTTCTGTAAAATTATGTAAGTGAACTTTCTTGCGCCCTACCTCCAGCCACTGCCATCCCCAAGAAGTCCTATTTGTTAAGATTTTGGATCAAGAAAACTGGAATATTTACTCAAAACAATTTATATTTCCAGGTGCCTTAATTTTATTTGACATATTGTCCAACCAGAAAGACTTGACTTCATCAGGAAACTCTGGACCTCCCACTGCTGCTAATGGGCTTATGAATGATGTGGTTGTTCGTGACAAGCAGGTATTACTTGCATACCTGAATTTTGAGATGAATTCACTCTGATGTTTTTTGAAGATGTTTCTCAAGCTGTCAGAACTTTTATCAGTTTAACACAGTACCTGATGTGATAGTAAATTTTAATTGACTAATGGAAAAATGCAATCTAAGAATAGTCATTTTATGTGTTTCTGTAGTCTCTATATTTGAGGTTTCTTGTACCATATAAATTTAAAGGTCTGTGGAGGTTCTGTCTAGTGTATTTAAGCATTGGGCCGGGACCCAGAAACTCTTAAGTTCTAAACATTGGCTCTGTTACAGATTCTATGGCATTGAGCAAGTAGGGAAAGTGAGGTAAAGCTGTCTGCAAAAGAGAGGTAAAATACTGGCTTGAAGAACTTTGTGAGTAATGATGGATATACATGAGGAGGAGTCAGTTTACTTTAGTTCTCAGAGTGAGGGCAGGTAGATTTTTTTTTTTTTTTTTTTTTAACCTTAAAGGCATTTGATGTGTAAACCATGGAGATTCAAAACTCCTGGAACCCCATTGTCACTCTTAGTCTCCCTTTAAATATTTTCATTTAGCGTCAGTCCGTTCTTATTGGTTGAAAATTTGATGTTGATATTTGATATTTGTTTTTTTTAAAGCCCTTAGGCTAGGATGATTAACAATGCTCAGATGTTACCGATATTTTAAAAATATGGTTTAGCATATATTTGTTCATTGAAGCTTGCTGTTAACTCCTCACTCTATCTGTCAATCTCATTGTGCTGCTTTAATCTTCTCTCAAGGTGATAGAGAATACCAACTCCTTGGCGCCCATGATTACTCCTTCTGGTGAGGAGCTCTGTGATCCTGATGTAGAGGATGAAGTGCCAACCTTACAGAAGGCTCTGGAAATGCTCAGTGTCTCAGAATATATCGACACATTTGAAAAGGAGAGAATTGATATGGAATCTCTGGTACAGTTAACAGTTTAAGTTGACCTTGGGAGCCAGACAATCTTTTTTGCTTTAGAGCTTAGTCTAAATAGCTTTTTTTAAAATTGAAACTTTAATTGTATGTATTGTATACTTAAGATAAAATATTATGTGAATCCATAACACTTTCAGTTAAATAGGTTGGTCTCCTGTTATGTATGTTTATTGTTGTCCTACATTCTCTTTGATCTTTATTTAATTCTGTGTAAATCTTAATCTGCACTATTTGAGTTTACTTAACTAATTTTTAAATATAATCTGTCTTTTTCCAGCTGATGTGTACAGTTGATGACCTGAAGGAAATGGGTATACCTCTTGGACCAAGAAAGAAAATTGCCAACTTTGTAAAAGACAGAGCAGCCAAACAGGTAAATGCGCATGGTTTTATAATGCATTTATATTGGCATTATTTAACATTATTTGTTTTTCTACTATTACGTACCATTCTCTACTGTTATGTAATGGCCCAAATGATTTCAATACTTCTCTATATAACGTGCATAAAATTGCCTCATCAGAGGTTGTCAGAAGCTCTCTGCATATAGGAGGGTTATGCAGCATATCACTAAAAACAGTCTTCTGCTTCAAATATTAAATACCTAAAAGCTGTGTGAAGGACATTGTGGGCAATATTAATGAACCTTTTACTGCAATACTGCATAATATAAAAACCCGTCTCTGCTTTAAAACTGCTTAACTCAGTAGGTATGACAATTTTTTTAAATCCATACTTCACGCAGGTATAGTAACTTTCTTTCTTTCCAAAGGTACTATGCTAGACAAAGTTAGAGCCAAACTATATTTTTTTTAGGGCTGTCGATTAATCACAGTTAACTCACGTGATTAACTAAAAAAAATAATTGCGATTTTAAAAAAATAGTTGCAATTAATCACAGTTTTAATCACACTGTTAAACAATAGAATACCTGTTGAAATTTATTAAATATTTTTGGGTGTTTTTCTACATTTTCAAATATATTGATTTCAATTACAGCACAGAATACAAAGTGTACAGTGCTCCCTTTGTATTACTATTTTTTATTACAAATATTTGCACTGTAAAAATGATAAAAGAAATAGTATTTTTCAGTTCACTTCATATAAGTACTGTAGTGCAATCTCTTTATCATGAAAGTGCAATTTACAAATGTAGATTTTTCTTTGTTACGTAACTGCACTCAAAAACAAAACAATGTAAAACTTTAGAGCCTACAAGTCCACTCAGTCCTACTTCTTGTTCAGCCAATTGCTAAGACAAACAAGTTTGTTTACATTTATGGGTGATAATGCTACCTGCTTCTTATTTACAATGTCACCTGAAAGAAAGAACAGCTGTTCTTATGGCACTTTTGTAGCCAGCATTGCAAGGTACTTACATGCCAGAAATGCTAAACATTCATATGCCCTTTCATGCTTCGGCCACCATTCCAGAACATGTTTCCATGCTGCTGATGCTAGTTTAAAAAAAAAAAATGTGTTAATTAAATTTGTGACAGAACTCCTTGGGGGAGAAGTGTACGTCTCCTGCGCTGTTTTACCTACATTCTGCTATATATTTCATGTTATAGCAGTCTTAGATGATGACCCAGCACATGTTGTTCGTTTTAAGAACACTTTCACTACAGATTTGACAAAATGCAAAGAAGGTACCAATGTGAGATTTCTAAAGATAGCTAAGGGCACTCAACCCAAGGTTTCTGAAGAATCTGAAGTGCCTTCCAAAATCTGAGAGGGACGAGGTGTGGAGCATGCTTTCAAAAGTCTTAAAAGAGCAACATTCCAATGCGGAAACTACAGAACCCCAACCACCAAAAAAGGAAATCAACCTTCTGCTGGTGACATCTGACTCAGATGATGAAAATGAACATGCGCTGGTTCGCACTGCTATGGATCGTTATCAAGCAAAACCCATCATCAGCATGGACACGTCCTCTGGAATGGTGGTTATGAATCTTTAGCACAGTGGTCCCCAACCTTTTTCATCCGGCGGGCGCCAGACAACGAGCCACGGAGGACCGTGGCGGCGGACGAGCATCCGCCGAGATGCCACCGACAAGCGGCAATGTCAATAGGTGTTGTCGCCGAAATGCCGCCGACAAGCAGCGTCATCCAGAGGCGTTGCTGCCGAAAATTGGCGGCATTTCAGCGACAACGCCTCTGGACGATGCTGCTTCTCAGCGGCATTTCGGCAGATGCTCGTCCGCCGGTCAGTACGCGGGCGCACTTAGATGCTCCGGCGGGCGTCATGGCACCTGCGGGCACCGCATTGGGGACCCCTGCGTTAGCACATCTGGCACATAAATATCTTTCAATGCCGGCTACAGTGCCATGCAAACACTTGTTTTTATTTTCAGGTGACGTAAACAAGACATGGGCAGCATTATCTCCTGCAAAGGTAAACAAACTTGGCTGAACAAGAAGTAGGACTGAGTGGACTTGTAGGTTCCAAAGTTTTACATTGTTTTATTTTTGAATGCAGTAACTTTTTGTACATAATTCTACATTTGTAAGTTCAAATTCCATGATAAAGAGATTGCACGGCAGTACCTGTATTAGGTGAATTGAAAAATACTATTTATTTTGTTTTGTGCAAATATTTGTAATAAAAAATAAATATAAAGTGAGCACTGTGCACGTTGTATTCTGTGTTGTAATTGAAATTAATATATTTGAAAATGTAGAAAACATCCAAAAACATTTTAAATAAATGGTATTCTATTATTGTTTAACACTATAATTAATTGTGTTTAATTTTTTTAATCGCTTGACAACCGTATATTTTATGCTGTCAGAAAAGTATATGAAATATGTTAGTCATCACAGGTAAAATATTCAGAAGTGCCTAAGTCATTTAGGTACTTCAGAAAATCTTGCCCCACATGTTTTGGATTTTTTTACACTGAATTGATGCATTGTGTGTTACCAATCTTTTTTTAGTCAGCAAGAGATAGTGTTATACCAATAAAAACTAGCAGGATCGTATTAAAGGGGACAAGATAAAGATGCCACATTTATTATGATAACAATTTGATTTATGACCAATAACTAATATCTTAATCCTTATACACACACATTATACCTAATACCTATACACACACACACACATTCACACACACACACATCCATCAGATATTCTGCAGCTGCTGCATAGTTACCAGTCCTGCTTGAGTCTGTGGCTTGAGTTTGCAGCTTGGGTTCGTAGCTTGTGGTGGCTAACTGGCCAGGAAAGCCGGGCACAAGGACGAGCTGGGTCTCTGTTGGGCATGCACCGATGCCCTTCCATGTTGGCAGCAGAATGTTACCCTCCTCCAAAGTTTTCCATCTCACCCATCCTTTTTGTAGGCTTTAGTTTGAATCCAGAGTCTATAGGTCTTACTGTGTCACGGCTGCCTTTGGGTTTGGTGATTGATCACCCGTCAATTGCAGACATGACTTTCAGCCTGGGACCGGGCTTTGATCTTCCTTCTATTGTACCTTTTCTTTTTCGGGTGGATTCTTCTTACTTTGTTAGGGCTCTTGTCTGCATCTTCAGCCTTTGGTGTTTGAACTTTATTTAATCAGGACAGGCTGGGGCTGGAGGTTGATTCCATCATCCATACATACCTCATTCACACATCTAAACTAAACTAATAAGATTACAGCAGGGTTTGCAAAAATGAAGGTTGCAGCAAGCCCTTACAAAATGGAGTAAGCGTTTTAAAATGGGGTTTGAATTACAATATGGCAAACAGTGAACAGAAGTTACACTGTAGGCAAGTGTAATAAATGGTGAACAGAAGTTACAATACTGAAACAGTGCAAGTCTCAGTGATTTAAGCAGGAATTGGATTGATAGTGAAACTTACAAAGGCAGCTGACTGAACAGCTATGGCTCTTAAAAAGCATCTTAACTGTTAATTAGCCAGTTATTGGGGTAACCGGTTTTATGAATGAATATTGTTTCATTCATAAAACTTTACTTATGAAGTTACATTAATAAAGTAAACAATTAAAAACAATTTCATGCATCAGTTCTACAATAGGTGACCAGCAGGTGAAGGCTGTTCATCTGGTAGGGGATTCACTGGCTAGGGTAAAAGGAGCTATTTTTAATATGGTGATATGATTTGGCCTTTAGCATTGCTGACTTTTGTACATGTGCCTAGCTGTTGTATAGTAATTCAGTGCTCTAAAGGTTGCCAAATCTTTGGCTATAAACATTAAACAAGAGTAATGTGCTCTTCCCAAGAATTCAACTCTGACAGAGAGCAAGACGATTTGAGATGATCATAGATGCTGTGGGGTGGGCATGGGGAGAGAAGTGGACTCAGATACCCCAGTCTTGTAAGCATATAGAGCATTGTAGACAATCAGCTCTTTGAATTGCACATGAGAATTTTTTGAAATCTGCAATGTTTTTTCAATTTCAACTTTTTCAAAATTTTGCTGAGCTATTCAATCTGAAAAAGTTTAACCAACTGTAAAACTGTTCAAAAAACATCAACAAAAACATTTTCAAGTCTTCCATCCAAAATTGAATTATTGATAAATGTTGTTAAACTCAAAATTTCAAACAGTTCTAATTGTAACCAACTGACAATGGTTAAAAGGTACAAAGCCTGCCACCATCATCTGAAAATCCAGAATCTGTGAAGGCTCTAAGATCCTGAGATAGTGAACCATTCAGGCTGTGTGGTGTGCCCCTCAAATGAAGGAGTAGCTGCAGCCTCTGTCAACTCTTCAAAGTGTTTCCCTCTGTCCGCTATCATCACCTGTGTTGTGTGGTTTGATCCTAAGCCAACTAGCTTTCATGCAGGATCCTAATTCATTCAGGAACTAGAAAACAAGGAGACTCAAAAAATAAGTTTGATAAGTAGAAATAAAAATGTCAACGGCATACTGCTGATATTACTGCTCAAAACATCTCAATCTCTCCTACTATACATGTGTGGCTGCTAAGCAGGAGGTTTGACAAAATAAAATCCTACAAGAAACTCCTTTTGGGAAGATAAGCCCTAAATGTTGGGAGAAACTTTAAATATTGCACCCTCCTATCAGAAATTAAACTGACTAACTTAATTTTTAAATACTGTTTTGCCTGTTTATATTCAGTAAATTAGACACAATTATAGTTCATTTGTCCAAGTAACGATCTAATCTATAGATCAGTGAGTTAAAAGCCTTTGGGGAAAAATAAGTTCTTGCTTTTTCCTTGTAGGTGGGGTCTGTCAGAATCTTTGATTTTTTTTCCTTCCCTCCCTCCTCCCCCCACTAACTTCAATAACAATGAGCAAAAGAATAATGCAAGAAATCACTGCAGAATTTCCAGTAAATGCCAAATAATCTTTTTTAATTATACCAGTTTTATAGGTCTTATCTGTAGCATCTTGGGAATGTGATGATTTTTTAACAAGGGAAAGAGTTAATGTGATCGAATTTTTTAAAAACTGATTTCTGTGTATTAGCAATAAAAATCTATTTTATTATATTTGTAGATCTCCACACTGTGCACACATGACATGTTTCTGTAGAGTTTATACCAGGATAATGTGGTTTGGCATTTTGAATATAAAGCAAAACTGAATTTTATAGAAAAAATCCTTTCCTAACTGATTCTACAATGATAAAATGTAATACTGTATGGAAAAAAGAGAGAGTGAAGCACAGTACAGGTAGCTGCAGTGCATAACTTCTTCATGGCATCTCCGCAGCATGCCTCATACCTAACTTGGAGGGTGAAAGGATATTTCACCTTTTGTCAATTTTATCCTTGCTCAAATTGCCAAACTTGTTGCCAGTTGTGGTGGTGGATTTTGCTCTGTTGACTGAGAGCTGGACTGAACCACCAAATTAATGTAGGCCTCAGAACAGCAGTCAGATAGTGTCTTGTGGTCATTATTGGTCTAAGCTAGATTTGAATGTATGACTTAGAGGTGAAAGTTTCTCTCTCTACCCTAGTCCCTCCCCTGATTAATGCTTGTATCTTTTTTGCTTGTTTGCCATTCAGTTTTTTTATACTAGTTCTAAATATAACCTCATTTACTGATTGTGTTTTAATTGGTGCTTGTGAAAAATGTGTTTCTTTTCAATAGCAATGCCAAATGACTTCCTTCTTTAAATGGTTGATTTTTCAACTCTTGAGAATAGCTCTTGGTCATCAGTGTGAAAATCCATTTATAGTACAATATTCTAGATTACTACCAACAACTAATTCTAGGGAGCTCAGTATTAGTATCAGTTCTTACAGCACTTAATTCAGAATGAGGTGTTCTGCAGTTTAATCATTTTATAACTTAGACTCTCAGGTTTTCTATTACTCCTACTATAAGCTGGTATTGTCATAGTAATCGCTTTCTGTGCTTTTTGTAAATGAGAATGAACAAAACTTCCTCATTCAAATATTGAACTGATTTCATGCTATAAACAATACTTGTTTTGAAGATTGATGGATGGAGGAATGCTTTCATCTGTTTTCTGTCACTATTCTTAACATAAACTTAAAATAAATGTTAACACATTCAGTGACTTGGCAACCAGATATCATCAACTAGAAGAATCAAAGAATGTGGTGTTTGCTTCATTGGGTAATATGGCACATATTCTGAGTTTTCATGCTGTGGTACTTTATTTGGCTACCTGCAAGTGTTCATGCTAGTTGTGCCCTAGAATCCTCTGTGCAGGTTCCCACAGTGCTCCATAAGGAAGGTTGGTAGAAAGAGGCAACAAACAAACAAACAAGGGTGTGTGGGGTGGGATGTGTGTGTGCTTCTGACATCTGAAACAGACGAATTGTAAATGCATAAGGTACATCTGAAAGCCCAAGATAGGGACTGAGAAAAGTTGCCAAAGCAATAAACTTTTTCTGGTTTTGATAACTTTGTTTCAATAGGAAAAGAAAAAAGCGTTAGCAGAAAAAAAAGCAGTGCAAACTCAGGAAGCTGCACAGAAAGCAAAAGAAGCAGTTACTTCTGTGGCCACTTCAGAATCTGATAGCCTGCATGAGCGGTCGAAGAGAAAACTTCCTGTGGGTGCCTTCGTTTCTTCTGTGAACATTGATTATGAGTATTTTGAAGTTGGTACTGGCCAGGTAAGATTGTTAATTAAAACATCTTATTTGAGAATAGTGCTATATACTAAAACAAAACAAAAAAATTAAAAACGTGCCATTTCATTCTAGTCACGCAAAAGAACTTGGGTATTTCTTGTTTTTCCTTATAAGTGTGGGAGGGCTTGTTAAAGTTAGCGTTAGGCTTTGCTTTCAGTAATATGGCCACCACAATTAATTTCACCCCTTCAGAGTGGCTAGGGCTGGCTCCATTCCCAAATCGAGGTCTCCTACGTTAAATCACAGCACCATGGACTGCCATGGTGTTGAATGGTCATTTGAGTTTTCTTTGGATGCTTACACATTACCTTTGTTCTGCATCATTGTAGACCTGAAATTTGAATGGTCTGTTCTTAATCTAAAGTTTTATTTTAAAAAAAATACATTGAAATGTTTCCTGTTAGTTTGACTTATCCTCATGTTCTTTCCAGTGTGTTTTTTAAGGTGCCTTTGTAAGGCTTCTCCATGTAAGCCATATGGGCAGAATATCCCAGCAAATATCTGCCACCCTGTAGTGTAAACTAGCGGGTTATTGGGTGTTTGCTGAGTCAGTCACCATCTTCCCTTTTTAGTTAGGCTTAAAGTGAATTGCCTGACATTTGAGGTGGCATTTATTTTATTTGATTCCTTTGTACTGCTAGGTTTCTGTGGCTTACAGCGTGCTAGACTTCGAACCAGAGAATTTCTTTGCCCTGGGTTCTCCAATTGGTGTGTTCCTTTCTGTACGAGGAGTGGAGAAGATTGATGAGAACTATAGACTTCCTACCTGCAAAGGATTCTTCAATATTTATCATCCAGTGAGTGAGAAGTACCTGTGAGATTGGATTTCTAGTAATGTAGATGAAAGGAAGATGGGAAAACTGCATTCGAACTTCTTAACACACCAAAAGTAATTTTAAAACAGTCATCATCCCCTGAATGTTGCAATTACCCTTGGTTATTTCTGAACCTCTACAGAAAATAAGTAGCTGGTTGAAAGTCATGTACTTAATACCTATCCTGATTACCTTGCCACCTGCCCTCTTCGCTTTCCAAAGCCAAAATAATAATCTTATTGAGAATCTGTTTTCTATCATCTGACTTTTAGCGTGCTCTTTGTCTTCCTCCACTTCTGATGTTCACATCAAGATTTGGAAACGCTTTATTGTTATTGTAAAATACAATAGATTTATCCTTCTCTTCATCCCCATCTTGTCATGTTACCAACCAGTATACCAGCTATATGAAATACTGAAAACTGGGGAAAATCTGAGTTTTATCTTGACTCTATGTTGCTTTCAACATAGTTGAGTAGTGTATTGCAAGATTTTGTGGTGTTTTGAATGGTTACTGATATTTGCTAATTCTGTAGCAAGAGAGATCCTTTGTGCACTGGATGTATTATGTTAAAGAGCTGGGGCAAAATAATGCTCATCTCTGCTATCATGTCCCTCTCCTAGAGTCTCTGAATCGAAGAGAAAGAAAACACTCGTGTTAATGAACCAGCAGTGATTTACAGTTTAACTAAACATTAGTTCACTTGAGATAACTGAAAAAGACAGAATCTACAAATTATCTTCAGTAATTGTCAACAGGTTTCTTTAACTGAAATGTCACTAAAATTTTGGATTTTTAAATGTTAAATAATTTTAGTTATTCTGGCTTTCTCTTCATTTGCAGCTTGACCCAGTGGCTTATAGGGTAGAACCTATGATTATTCGAGACTTGGACATAAAACCAGTTCTCATTCCACACCACAAAGGCAGAAAAAGACTTCATCTCGGTAAAATATTTTTATATGTATATTTTACTGTATATGTATATTCTATGATTTTTCTAATGCATCAAATATTGTAGGTCAAGATTTTCAAAAGGGACTAATGATTTTTGGTGTCTGTCTTCTTGTGGACCCAACTTGAGATGCTTTAAAGGGGGCTGAATTTCAAAGGGCAGGTTCTCAGCACTTTCTGAAATCAGGCTGTTTTAAAGTGTCTCAAATTGAGCACCCACTGTCTTTGTTTAACAAAAGGGCTAATATTTTCAAAACTAATTAAGGCTGTCTAACAGTCATCAACTAGTAACTTCACTAATTGGAGGTGTATTTTTAATAGTTGCAGGTAATTGTCCTGTTCGTATTAACTTCTTAAGATTCTGAGGATAAGTAGTAGTAGCCAAGTTAACTGGATCCCCAACTCTGTCCCCCAATGCCTGCAACTCTGCCACTCCCACATATAGTTAAAAAATTAGACCCACCCTGGGTGGACGTTGATCTTCATGCTACTGAGCTAGCCAGCCTTTCTGCTTGGCATCACTGTGGAGTAGTCAAGAAAAGATACAGTGCTTACTGGGACAGTAGTAATATCCAGTGGGATTGGATTCTTGACTCTTGTGTCTAACTCACATGCCCTTGGTTAAACGGACACATTTCAGGGTTGTAAGGAACTTTTCCCAAGTTAGGTCAGGGACCTGGAGGGAGTTCTGACTTCCTGTGGAGCTCTAGGAAGAAATCATCTGGTTAGGATGAAGTGGTCATTTCCAACATACTTTTTCAGATTCTTAACATGTTATACTTTGTATTTGGTACTGTATTTCCTTGCCTTTTATTAAATTAAACTTTAACAGCATCTACTTCAAATATGGGTGGCAAAATTCTGCTTTCATAGTGAAGATGCTGTGTTCTATGTCGTCTTTTAATCAAGAGGAATAAGAGGCCTGGGCATATATGCACCAATAATTGGTGCCTTTGGCTAGTACTTACTTAAAAAAAATTGTGTTCACATAACATTTTCACTAATAATTCTTCTGATATTGTGATCTTTTTAGAGTTGAAAGATTCTCTCTCTCGTATGGGATCAGATCTAAAACAGGGTTTTATCAGCTCTTTGAAGAGCGCTTGGCAGACTCTTAATGAATTTGCACGTGCTCATACCTCTTCAACTCAGCTGCAAGCAGAACTGGAGAAGGTAGCTAATCAAATTAAAGAGGAAGAAGAAAAACAAGTGGTAGAAGGTAGGTTGACATTTCACGGATATTTTCTTAGTACGCTAATCTCAGATTTGTGGAAACATCAAAGCTCAAATGAACGTTAGAAATGTTAGATTTTTAGTTAATTACAATTTGATCTTGTCTAGGAAAACATACTTTTTCAGATTCTTAATATGTTATACTTTGTATTTGGTACTGTATTTCCTTGCCTTTTATTAAATTAAATTTTAACAGCATCTACTTCAAAGGAGGCTTTGATTAATGTAATCTTACAATTGAGCTTTATGTCAAGAGCAAGTTTCTAAATGTCTTGCCTTCACTCTTCTAAGAAAAATGAGTAAACAAATATTTAACATCTGTGGGATTTCTGCTTTTTAATTAAACTCTACTGCCTAGAAGGCCAAGCCGAGTAATAAGACAAGAGTCAGAAAGAGTGGATGTGGAGAAACTGAAATGAACACTGCGTCTAAGTAATAGATATTGCCTTCTACAAACATTAATCTCTTGGGAGGTTGGGGGCTTGATTCCTGCCTGCTATCACTTTTCTGACAGGTATTATTTACCATTGTATGCTTTTTTTTATTTCTGGATAGAATGAAGAAACACTTCCTTAGTCTCACACAATCAATTAAGGATGGTCATTGCTGCTGCAGAAACAGATTGAAACAATTCATTTTTATGGTTATTAGCCACACTGCTGCATGATAGAATGAAACCATATGAATGGATAGTGAGACGTAGTTCTTAATTACGTATCTAATGTCTTGCAGAGACTCTGTGCTTCAAGGTTGCACTATTATTTAAATTTATAATAAAAAGAAACAGAGACCCCCATTTGTAATAATAAGCCACACAGAAAACAGCAAAGGACTTATTTGTGTTTTATTCCACAGTTGAGTTGAGGCTACTACTGTCTTCCCAGAAACTAATGTAGAAAATGGTGACATCCGTTTATAGTCATAGAATCAAGCAGTAATAAAGGGTTGAGCTTGTGACTGACTTCAATGTTAAAACTATCAATTCTAGCTGAAAAGACTGCCGAAAGTCCAGATCTTTCGAAGGATGAGGATTTCTTAGTAAAGGTCGGGATGCTAAATGGAGGACGTCGTATTGACTATGTTCTACAGGAAAAACCAATAGAAAGTTTCAATGAATACCTTTTTGCTCTACAGAGTCACTTGTGTTATTGGTAAGAATTACATATTCTTTTCTGTAATTCCATAAATTTTGCTTTTCCAGTGTAGTTATATATATTTAATTCAATTTACTTAATTACCAGTTCTCTTCCTCTTTTTTGTACAGTTTATCTGTGACCAACGTGACAATAACAAGAATGCTGCTGCTTGTTTCTAGCATTTTCTTTATGAAAATTCAGAAGATCACTCTGACAAATGTCATGCTATAGAGCTTAATTTTCCAGGCTTTTTTTATTTTATTTTATTTTTTATTTTTGATAGAAATAGCAGTGTTCTACACAGGATTTTTCCTCAGTATGATATTGACCAGGAGTGGTAGAAAGGGGGATATCTGCTGGAGTAGGTTAGAAACAATACAAGCTATGTTGGATTTTTACTAATGAGTGCGCACCTTCAATTTTGGCCTGGGTTTGCTGGTGCACAGTGGTGAAAGAAAGGTTGCCTTTAATACAGTACTGCAAAGAGGAGGAATGGCCCAGTTGTTAAGAGTCTAACGTGGCACTCGGGAGGACCTGGGTTTGGTGAATCTATGCAGGCTTCTGAACTTGAGCAAGTCCCAAAGAACCATTTTCAAAACAAAACTCAAAGGGATTCTTACAAATTAGCTTAGGCTCTGAAGTCAGTTAAGTGCTTTTAAAAATTTTACCCTTAGTCTCTGCCTCAGTTCCTCATTTGTCAAATGGGGATAATACATTTCCCTGCCTTATAGGGGGTGTTGTGAAGAGGAATAAAGATTATGCAGTACTCAGATAATACAGTAAAATTGTAGAAGTGTAGGACTGGAAGAGACCTCAATAGGTCATCTAGTCCAGTCCCCTGCTGTCAAGGCAGGACTAAGTAATAACTAAACCATTCCTGACAGGTGTTTTGTCTAACCTGTTCTTAAAATCCTCCAATGATGAAGACTCCATAACCTCCCTAGGCAGTTTGTTCCAGTGTTTAACTACCCTGACGGAAGTTTTTCCTAATGTCCAACCTAAACCTCCCTTGCTGCAATTTAAGCTCATTGTTTCTTGTCCTATCCTGAGAGGTTAAGGAGAACAATTTTTCTCCCTCCTCCTTGTAACAACCTTTTATGTACTTAAACTGTTGTCCCCTCTGTCTTCTCTTCTCCAGATGAAACAAACCCAAATTTTTCAATCTTTCCTCGTAGGTCATATTTTCTATATCTTTAATTCTTTCTAGGGAGTCACTTCCCATTTTGTATGTGTGCAGTTGATTGGTCCATCCTAAGTGGAATTCTTTGCATGTGTCCTTATTGAATTTCATTCTGTTTACTTCAGACCATTTCTCCAGTTTGTCCAGATCATTTTGGATTTTAAACCTATGCCCCAAAGCACTTGCAACCTCTCCCAGCTTGGTATCACCTGCAAACTTCGTAAGTGTACTCTCTGTGCTATTATCTAAATCATTTATGAAGGTATTGAACAGACCCAGGACCAATCCCTGCAGAACCCCTGTCAGCTTCTTGTTTCTTTTGGCACTGGTGTTAGATCAGGCCTTCAAGAGAGCCATGTCTAAATGCTACTTCTTGGCTGACCCACAACTTCCAGGTCCTGTTAATCAGCACCCTAGCAGAGGTGCGTCAGCTTCTGTTTCAACCCACAGACTCTTCTAACGTAGAGTATTGGCTGTGTTCAGCCACGTGAAGTTCTGTACACATCGCTCAGAGACGTTCTACTTAGGTTATCCAGCTGCTAGGTCATCTAGCTAGTCTCTCTGAAGACATTGCTACTTCAGTTGAATCTCATGGCATGAATTTAGCTTCAACCTTTTATAACAGCATCCTTAATCATCTGCCACCATGGGCCTCCACTCACCTCTGCTCCTGCACAAGCTGAGAATGGTTTTCATTGCTATTTAAATGGCCAACACTTCTTTTTCTGGACATCATGTTGTACCTGGATGAATAGTACTATTTCTAGTATGACTTATTTTTCAGGTGACATGTTTTGCACTGACTACACCTAGAGTTTCAGCTGATATTTTAGAATGTGTGTGAGATCCTTGGTATTCTGAAATCATCCAGTTCTTTAGAAACCAATCTTTTTCTCTGGGGTTATCTTGGAATGTCACTCTCAAAAGTGTATGCACCTATCTAGGTAGCATTATCATTTTTTTCTGAAATAAGAACTGCTATTTTTCTGCAATGAAACAAATTTACATTCTTATCTCTCGTATGATGCTTTGCCTTGACTTTCATCCTATTCTGAACTTGGTGTTAAAAAAAGATAAATGTAGCAAACATCATTTTCAAGGGTAGGCAAGGACACCATATTTGTTTTGACAGCTACAGCTTTTCAAATGAAACCATTCCTGAAGAGATGATGAAAGAGCACAATAAGTAGCAAAACTTTATTGTACTTTGTGTGGGAATGAAATTGCAGGATATTAATGCTCTGTCATCAGATTTTAACATAAAGAAAAAGAATTGCCACAAATGCATCTTCCTTCAAAGCTTTGATATATGTTATGATTTTTACTGCTGACGTGCACAATGGTTTCAAAGCTGGTTTTTAGGATATAAAAAGGGAAATTTCAATTCTATTGTGTAATTGGCCATGCAAAACACCATTACTTTATCTGGATTTCGAATGTAAAAAAATAGGTAAAAAAAACAAAAACTAATTTCATGCATTTCAGATGGTACAGGATATAGAGTGACTTGCATGAGAAGCAATAACCTGTTGAAAGGAAAAAGCTGCCAATCTATGTTCACTCTTACGCATACTTAATTTCTCACTTTTGTGTATCTTAGATTTGTGCATTTTATTACCACAGTACAAACAGTACATTTGAATAGACATGGGGTGTGGGATGACATTGACATGTATGTAAACCACATGTGATAGCTAACATGACTTGTGTACAGCATGAACAACAACTGATCCTCAAACATCCAAATGATTAGTTAACTGTATCTTTTTCTCTTGTTGCAAAGACCAGTTGGTATTTGGAAAAACAAAAGTAAACTAAAATTGTTCCTTCAAAACATTGGCCTTTTTTTTTTTTTTTGCTGAGTGAAACTAGTACTGTGTGGTTTTACTATAATTTTCATAATAGTAGAAGCACAAGTGGCTTACTGCACTAGTTACCAGGTGCCACTGAAATAGGGTGACCAGACAGCAAATGAAAAATTGGGATGGGGGTGGGGGTTAATAGGAGCCTATATAAGAAAAAGACCCAAAAATCAGGACATCTGGTCACCCTACACTGAAACGTCTTCTGACTGTTGGAAAGTAAAAACTCTATAGAAATAATGTAAATTATGTCTAGAAATAGGCAGTGTTGTCCAGTGGTTAAACCACAGGACTTGAAGTAATATCTCATGGGGCTTTTTAATGTTGATAATGTTTACATGGTGGTAAATTGATAGTTGATTGTATAGGAGGTGTTCTTATCAAGGCTCCAATCCTGATGTATGCCAGTCGTATCAACAGTTTGCTCTGGTGGTTCAGTTTCCCTAATCTAATCAATAATAAATTCCAGTGGTGAGTTCTTCTGCACAAGCCCTCATTGTCTAGATTTTTTTATCTTTATGTTTAATAGTATTTACGTGTAGTTTGTGTTCTCCACAAGGTGGCAGTCTGTAGTTATTTTTTTCTATCTAAAGATTTGTTACTCTAGTAGACTAAACCATATTAAAGTACCTAATCAGCGCAGCATATAGCAGGTAATACACAAGAATTCATATTAAAAAGTTTTCTCAGGAAGACATCCAGTGAAATGAGCCAAACCTTCAGGAGGAGGAAACCCTGGCATTGATCCCTTTGCCTGAAAGTTTGTTGCTTATTTTATCAGGGTATCAGGGTATAATGTGGTTATAACCTGTATGCTGAATCTCTTTGTAAATATTTGAGCAATTGCATCATTTCTGTTGCATTTTTAACTGTGTATTGGCAATGTATAAACAGCATTCCTTAGAGGGCAACATCCTTTAATATAGATCATAATCATAGTCATAATTACACCTCTCTCTCACTCAGCTGCCTTCTGGCATGTTTGAAAAGATATGAGAGGGGCTTGTGCAATATTTGAACAACTCTTAGGACTTGCCTCAAGCAACAGAATGTTGGTTATTAAAAAAAACTAACAGACCCTTTTTATTCATAGGGAATCTGAAGACACAGCTTTGCTACTTCTCAAAGAAATATATAGGACTATGAATATCAGTCCGGAACAGCCGCAACACTGATGTGTAGATACCTGAATTTGTAAGTTTTGCCTTCATATAAATTGCATGCACTTAAATCCCAGCATAATTTGGTGAACATGATTTTGGAGACCATTTTCTTTTTCTTTTCCCATCAAAGCTTAGAGTGTAAAAAAGGCAGTTACAAAGTGTGTAATGTTGTTGCAATGTGTGAATTGTGGTTCTGGCTATAATGATCCTCCACCAACTGATGCAAGTTGTTCATGTTTGTAGTATGGAGAGGATAGGGAGAGTAGAATTATTTACCTTCTAAAGAGTTCTGCCCAGGCAAATACAAGCAATATAGCTTGAGAATTGCAGCATAATTTCCCCAAAAGACACAAGCTCATTTTAAAAGGAACCAAAATAATAAACTGCATATTGTGCATCTCAGAATAAAAATATCTTTAGTACATGACAGTTTTAAAGTAGTAAGTATCCCAAATGAGGGTCCTCGCTCTGAGAGTTTCTTCCATTGAGCACTAGGAGCCAGAGTCTGAATTCGAGGTGATAATGGAAATATTATTTTGGTTAGCATCCTGTTGTTTTTCCTGGCTTTTGTGTTATTTGTTAAAATCAAAGCAACCAAGACGTAACAGAGCTGTAGAAATTAATGAAACAAATAGTTTCTTTCTCTTTGGCAGTGACTCGGGCTGTCTACACTGGCGCTTTTGTTGGTAAAGCTTTTTTTGGTCAGGGTTGGGGGAAAAAAAACACTCCCCTTACTGACATAAGTTTCAGTGACAAAAGCACCAGTGTGGACAGCGCTGTGTTGGTGGGTGATGCTCTCCTGCCAATATAGCTACTGCTGGTCATTGGGAGTAGTATAATTATGCCAACGGGAGAACAGTCTCCCGTCAGCATAGAGCGGCTATACAGGAAACCTTACAGCGACACAGATGTAGCAGTACATGATACCATTGTCAGGCACTGACTATTATGGATGTGGAGGTATTAAAATATATAGAGAGAAATCATCTTTGCTCCCAGAAAACTTGCTGACATTCTGTATTAATGTTCTGGAAAGTTACCCCCTTTAGACAGCTGTTTTTGATGCTTTCCTTGTTCTCAGAAGTGCATGAAAATCAAGAGAGGACAGTATCCTTCCTTATTAAAAGCACAGATGGGGGTCAAAATATTCAATCTGTGGGAGAGTATATGAACTTTTATAGGAGTATCCCAGATGCCTGTGCTCCTGCTAGACAATCTTAATAGATTTTTGTAACAGAATGTTCCTGCTGCTAGTGTAACTGATTGCCAATGGGGGTATTTAGTAAACTGGCTAGTGTACCAGCCTAATGTCAGTCCTGCTCCACTGAAGTATGTCATAGCTGATTGACTGCACTTTAAGTGTACCAAAGTGAAAAGGAAAAACACACTTGAAACTACTGCTTAGCAACACAACTGCTTATATCAATTGTCAAGATGCCATCTACAGCATCTCATACCATCATAGTTGTAATGTGGCACTCTTGGCTTTTGTCTCTTATATTATGTCCTTATAGGTAAAAATCCTTACTCACTTGTTCTCGCTACAGAATGGTTGTTTTTAAACCCTACATAATTTTGTTTGTTTAGTGGCAAATCATTCTACAACAAACTCATTCCTGGTTTCTGGTGTGCAGGCTGGAACACTCTTTCATTAAGATGCACGCACGGTATCGCTCATGGGAAAGAGCATGGATGTACAGTATATCACAGTCTATTGCTGTTTGCTAATGAGCAAGTCAGGAGTGTCTGTACAGTTGCAGCAGCTTCAGGAGTTGCTCAGAGCTCTCCCATCCCTTGCTTGGCTAGCCAGCAAGCATATGAAACCTCATTTCAAATAGTAATGTCCTGGATGGCCAAGCAGTCCAGCCCCTCTGGTACATTTGTTATTTTTATTTCAGAGACAAGAAATATCTCTCTGCTTGCACTATCTAAAAAGTCTTTGCAAAATCCTGCTCCTCTAGGAAAAGTAAGCATTTTTCCCAGGCCAGCATGACCAGTCATGTTCTACAGAATCTAAGCAGTTATTCTTCTCATAGTTGGAAAATAAAACCCTTAAAACAGGGACTGATGAGTGCAACTGGTGCTGTAGCTGCTATGTTAGGGAAACGTGCTGAGGCAGCTGTGAGGAGCCTGAGGGGCTGAGATGGCCAGTATAGTTTTGAAAAGTCTCTGCTGAGTGACAGTGGATTTGGGAAAGTGAATTGTGGTGGTGGTGGGGGGGGGAATTAGGGAAGATACTGCAAGAGATGGAGAGAGCAAAGAGTGATGAATTAAGTGGAATGATGCTCAGTGGGTAGAGGGATGAATGGGGGTGAATTAAATTTAGGATGTTGGTGATTGAGGTAGGAGGTGATGATTAAGTGAATTATGAAATGATCAGTGCAATACAGAAGCCAGTGTGAAGTGTTTGTGAGAGTAGAAAGAGAGCGTTTGGTATGAAGTGTCCGAGGAGGTGTGAGCGTATGAGTATAGTTGTGTGTGCTGTTATTTGACAAGGCTGGGCCAGTGTTTTTTTTCTTTTTTTCTTCTTCCATCTGGGCTGGTGATAAAAAATATTAGCTATGATTGGGAGTGGTTGCCATAATAATCAGTGAGTAGCTCCCAAGATCTGGCAGTCAGTTGTGACCAAAGTCATCTAAACCATGGGAAAAAATCTTCCAGCCCTCTCATCTAACATGAGTATTCTGCTTTGTCTTCTTGAAGTTACTCTTCGATAAACAATATTGTAAAGTTCACAGGATTTTTTGTAGGATGTTTGCATGCTTAGAATAACAGAAGTATAGCCGGTATGGCCTGGTTGAGTAGAAATGTATGTTACATTAAGTTTTAATCATTTTTACATAGTATGTTACTTTGTATGCTTGGTGTTTATTTGCACTTGCTTGTCATTTTTGTGTCCTCTAAATATTTGTAATCAGAGAGTTCTTGCAGGCAACTTTATGCCCTACTTGTATTTTTAGTTCTTTTGTAATGGGTCCTCCAAAGTGCACGATACTTAAGTTAATATAACTTTGTATTCAGCTGCCCCCGCACATCCTATAAAATGAGTTAAAGGGTATGCTTACACATATGGGCACAGTAGCTAATCCAACTGTACAATGATCCCATGATCAGAAATCAAGATCCAGTATCAAAGGCTCAATTTTTTTGATAGTTAGGAATAAATTCAATCATCATTGTGGGGGATTAACATAAATCTCCCATTAGTGCAACATTGCAGTACTCCCATCACTCCAATTTGCAATCATAACTCGCATCACCAGAATGAATCCTGATCGTGGTGGTGGTATTCTTTGGGGGGGACGAGGAAATAGACCTTAGGGTATTACATTTTTATAAAATGATGAGAGGTGGGTGTGGGTTTTTAATCTTTTTCTCTTTGAAAATGACCATTAGTGTGTTTAGTTTTAACATAGTAAGACGAGGTTCAGTTTCATCTTTCCTGTTTTTGTTTTTGTTTTTCTCTGCACAGCATATCTAATGTTCCAACAGGCTTGCTGACAACACATTTTGAGGAACCTCCAGTATTTCTTTAGTCACACATGACAAGAATCCGAATTACAACAGCATTTTTTTTCTTCAGTCCAGAACTCTTTGATTTAGATAATGCCTTCTTGTTTCACTCAAGAGTGTTTCACAATTTCAAAATTATCAGCACCACAGTTTTGGAAGCATAATTGGAATGACACCATTTAACCTTCTTACTGAAATTTAGTTGTACTGTTGCCAAACTTTGACCAATGAAGAAATATTCGTGGCATGCAAATTATTATTTTTCTTCTCGAGCTATCTTGTCTGTTAGGTGTCAAACATGTATTTTCTATGAAGGCAGTATGTTCTTTATTAAAGAAAGGACTTGTTGAGACACAGCAATAATCTGCTCTTTTTAAAAAATGCGTTTCCACTTTTAAAAACAAAATGTGAATTTTAGTTATAAGCTGCTTTACATCAAGCCTTTTGTATTTGCTAAAACCAGCAGCCAGAATGACTTTCTTACTACTGTGAGTTCAGTGCTAAGATTTTATAAAAGCTTTTTAACCCTCTGACTTCTTTACAATGGAGATAAAATAATCTTTTGTTATAGAAAACATAGAGATTTGTTACAGCTAGTTCAGCATTCACATCTCTTGGAATGTAACTGATGTAGAGAACAAAGAGGGATGAGTCAAACAATGTTTCATTTTGGTAATTAACTGTTCATGCGGCCTGGTGGCTGCTCTACTTGAGAACTAAAATCATGACATTGACCTCGGAAAATTAATTTCTCTCACCCAGGCATGTGAATGTAGAGCCTCTTTCAAGCTTATTGGAGCTAAATGTAACAGCCAAGGCCAAGATCTGTGATCCATATTCTATTTTCATCTAGTGAAATCAGTGGAGTTGTATGGGGTGAGGTCTTCTGGATTAGTGTCTCTGAACGCTGGGCTTCTGTAGCTTTCTTCTGGCAGCATCTTTAATGCAATTACCTAACCTATAGTGCTGACAATATTTGCTTCTGTTACTGCAGTAAGGACATTTTGCTAATGTTTACATACTAAGTTCTTATGAAACACAGTGACTTTTTTGAGTATATGTAAAATACACATTTTTGTGTGTATATTTTGGTTAGTATAATTAAAAGATACTGAAATACCAATGAATCTTTACTGCAAGCTTTTGTTCTTATCTCAATAGTGAATGATTCCTTCTTTCACTTAATGAGAAGGACCTTGGATGCTTTTGGTGTCACTTCTCCCATTCTGAATATTCAGGATTACATTTAGTACAGTAGTTTCCCTTCAATTTTTTTTGTTAAGCTAGAATAAATTTTGCCGAGATATATCAGATGGACCAGTCTCTTGGCTGATGGCACAATGAGTGGAAAAGCCCAAGCCCTTCAGTAAATCCTGTATTAAAGATAAGTCTCCCAACAGATTTCAGATCCCTATAATTGGTATTCAGTTCATGTAGCCTATAGTACTGGATAAAATACCAAAGAATGAAAGACGTATCGGTTTTCAAGAATCTGCAACAATGTTGAATGTGTACATTGTGTTGAAGTGAGTACATAAAGGCAAACCAAATAAATTTAATGAAAAAAATGTACAGAGGGTGTTTGTTATGACTTATCACTCTGAATCTAAAGGAAGATGCTGTTGGGAATTCAACTTGCTTTTTGTTTGTATATTATTTGTTCATTACCGTGAAAGGAAATTACTGTTGAAAACAGATTAAGCAGTTAGTCACTTAAAATAGATGTTATTTTTGACCTTGGATATTTTAAATCCATTAACTATTTTTAATTCTAACTTTTGTCTTGATAGTCTGAGATAAGCAATTATTTCAGGGGGGAAAATTCTGACTGGGATCTTAGACTTATGTGGAATAGCCACCGTTTGAACCACCTAAAATGTGAATTATATTCTGAAAAGTGACTGTTTTAAAAGTTGCACATTAATCATCTGGTATGTATGCTTTCTTTTGTATGTATTCAGTCATTTCTGCTTACTGCAGTGACAGAAGTTTCTGTTTTTTAATCCTGTTGGCTCTGCTGAAATAGCAAGCTGGATTCTGTTCCATCTTGTAACTTAGTAAACATTTCTGTTGGTGATGCACAACAGTACAAACCTTTGGAGGGAGTGGGATATAATTTGGCCAGCAGAAACTTTAATCATGTAGAAGAAGAGGGAAAACCCAGCTTGATTTTTCCAATCCAATTTTCAGAGTTACTCTCTAGAGGCAAAAATATCCTTTCTAAGTAAACCAAGGACAAAGATCTGGAAGTCAGAGACACAATAAACATGGAACCCCATAATGTCAGAGAAGAACAGCCATTTAAATCTAGGCAGGAACAGAGCACTAGAAAATGCACTATGGGGAACAAAGGGCACTGGCAAGAAAGTGCGTTTTATTACCTTATAGCTGACTCCTGTAATATTTGTTTTTCCTTTAGAACTCTGGATTATTAGCTACATAGGCTGTAAGCTTTTTGGGGCATTTTTGTGGGGACTGTGTACGGTGCCTACCACAGTGGGGGCCTTGTTCCTGACTGGGACCTCTAGTTGTTGAAATAGAAAATGTCCTTCAGAATAATAATAAACATATAACTACTTAAAAAGTTTATATAAATATTAAAGTGTTATCCTCAAGACAATATATTTGGTGCACCCTATATTATGGGCTTCGTCCTGCTCCCATTTACATCCAGGGCAAAACTCCATGGACTTAAATGGAGATAGGGATTGGGCTCCATGTACTTACTTTTCTTTAAATACAAATCCGTTTGCTTTTCCACTACTATTGTTCCAAAATATTTTACCCAATGGAATAAAATTCATCTTCACCTTGTCATATTGATTTTCTTTTCTTTCATGCAGCCTAGTGCAGTGCTACTATACCACCTCACTGCTTCTTTATATCTACATAGTCGGCTCACACACACATCTGCCACCTCATAATCCCTTCCTAATATTCTCCAGTTCAACATATTACATCACTTGTCTTGTCAGCCTGAATTAGATTTCTGTACTCTCACTTCTTCAGATCCCATTATCAGCTTTGAACTGAACTACCCATCTAATAATTCAAAGGTTGTCATTGTAATCTGAAAGTATTAATTATTTAACCTATTTCAGTAATGTTCCCCTAATTCTATATCTATTGTCTTCTGATAAAAATACCACTTGCATCTGACAAAGGATACAGAAATCACACACGCTTCTAAGTTGGCCATCACCAAAGTGTCTGGGCACCATTACTTAAATTTAGAAATAATTTAGCACCAAGAAAGGGCACAAAAGCATGTAATATGAATTATGGGATAGCTCAGTGGTTTGAGCATTGGCCTGCTAAACCCAGGGTTGTGAGTTCAATCCTTGAAGGGGCCACTTAGGGATCTGGGGCAAAAATCAGTACTTGGTCCTGCTAGTGAAGGCAGGGGGCTGGACTTGATGACCTTTCAAGGTCCCTTCCAGTTCTAGGAGATGGGATATCTCCATTAATTATTATAATTATTATAATATTGAAACTTTAATATTAGAATACTTGATAGTAATCCCTAAGCCTTTTAATTAATTATTTATTTTTACTGGTCTCTGTTTCCTAGTGTTTAGTTCATTAAGGCCCTTTCCTATGGCTGTACTGTGTCTGAATTTTACTAAGTAAGGTATGATGTCAACCTTTCTAAATTATGGTTTCCTCCCCCCTCCCCCCCCAACCTCTGGGCTTGTTACAACATTTGATGATGTCAAACAGAAAGTTGGAGAAAAAGGCTTTGTAACTAGTTGGGCTTTAATTTCTTGACACTCTCTGGGGTCACATGAAGCCTGTTGGTCTCTGTATAGTTTTCAGCTATCTCATCTGACCTGTGTGAACTTGCCTGTTGCAATTTTCCTTAGAAATAACTTTAATGCTGGTAAGAGACTTGGATGTATGTGGTCTGGTTTTGGTGACTTATTGACTTTTGAGGGCTTTTCTGACGTTACTAACATATCTTTTCACCTGGAAGCCGGAACTGTAAAGTTTCCTTTATTGTGTTTTTCCTTACTGTGTATCCATGTTTTATTTTCTTAAAATTGGTCATGAATGCTTGGTGTGTTGGCAAGAGGAGATTGAAAATAGAGGGTGGATTAAAGATCATCGAGGCACTTGTTTAAAAATACAAAAGGTGACATGGATTTTTACAAAAAGATAAGGGAGGAAAAATTGGCTTTAATAATTTGAATTTAAGTATCGAGGATATGAGCCCTAATATTGAAGTGATGATATAGTTGTATAATTTCCAGTCTCCAAAGATGTTGAAAAATGGAGCAGAAATTACTAGTTTTACAGCATATATTTTTTTAAATCCCCAATTTTTACTCTGAAAATCCCAAGGAAAAGGATACAAGGAGTGCTAAGACTCAGCCTCAATTTTTTTTTTCCAGTTTCCAGGTAATGCAGTCTGCTTCTCTGTTGTTACTATCTTTGCTGAACAGCTCTGCTCTGTATTCAGATATATTTCTTTAAATAACACCACTTTTTAAATAGATTTTTTTGAAAAATAGTCAATTCCAGTCCATTTCTTTTCATGCATAGTACGTAACGTTCCTTTAGTCTGCTGTCTTGTATTCACCATTTCCTGCTATTGTAAATGCACCTGCAAAAAGGTTCCCTTTGTGTGATACTCTAATCACTCAGTCCCACCTGTTCACAGCATATAGACTCCACTGCCAGGGCAAGTAATAGAGGGAGGTAACACTGTGACTTGGATTAGTGTCCATGTAGCTAAACTCTAACAGAGAATTACTACTGAGTCTCACATAGTACTGAAAATTTACTCTTATTTCTTCCTGTTCTTTCTTGAGCTTAAACCTAAAACATCTTCTGATCTTGTGCGTTGATCAACAGATTAAGAAATCCAGCTCTGTCAGTCTCAAGTAGTTTCCTTCTTTAAAAACTGTCCATTATTATTGCACTACACGTCTAAATAATTTAAATATACTGTGATCAATCTTCTATTTATTTTGGGCCTCCTTTATCTACAAAAACACTTTGATTAACCTCCTCCTCACAATGCACAAATATTCAGTTTTCGAGGGATGATATTCTTGTTTACTTATCCATTATCAGTGACCTTGACTACGTTTCTCTGCTGTTACAAACAGCATATGATGGATTTCTTCAATCCCTCCTATCACCTGACCCTTTTTGAGTCTTTTTTTATATAAATATCAATCTAATGGATTAAACAGGCCAATCTGTATAGCCGTAGGTTTTAAATCACAGGGGTTTACAGTGCAAAAATCTTGGCCAAAACACTACAGCAGGTGCCTTGCTGTGATAAACTTTGTTAGAATATTTAGTCCAGATTTTCCAACAAGTTAGGCATTTAATTTTGCATGCAAATCATGCAGTATTCACACTGGCACACTCAATCATGGTAACTTGTCCATGCAAATGTGACAAATTTGCATATGTAGTTTATTTGAAAATCTGGCCCTTAAGTCCCTAGATTCTTTTATTTTAAATTTGTCCATTACCAATGTCATGGATGAAAGTACAAAACTTAATATGTGCTTTTCATCGGAAGATTTCAAAGTGCTTTACAAAGGAGGTCAGTGTCAGTATCCCTGTTATAGATGGGGAAACTGAGGCACAGTGGTGATGTGACTTTCCCAAGATCACCCAGCTGGCCATTGGCAGAGCTAGGAAAGAACCAAGGTCTCCTGAGTCCCTAGGCAACACTCTTACAGCTTTTATTTTTTTTAAAAATGCTGTCAAACTGCTGGAGGAATTGAATTCTAGAGGCCAGGATCCTCCACAATGAATGTCTGGTCACCAACCCCTGGAATTTTTTAAAAGGGAGGCTTGTTACCTTAAGCATTTCATGTTCCCTCAATAATCCTGGCAGCACACAGGAGATAGTGGTTTACTTAGCCTTCCTGGCCACCTAAGAGATTACAAGTCAACACCTTCTATTGCCCTAGAAGTGAATAGGAAACCACTACCCTTGATGAACTGGTGTAATATGCTTTCAATGACTTATACTACCATGCAACCATGGAGAGGTAGCAACTTAATAGTAAAGGTTGCAACTAGCTTTCTTGTAAAAGCCTAAAGTGTGAGAGAGAGAGAGACTCTCACTCTCTCTCTCTCCCCTTAATGTCATACTTTCCTCATGTGCTGTGCTGCCAAGTTAGAATTTTGAGTGTTGGGCTGGAATAATAGAATAAGGCAAGTGTGAGATAAATTAAAAAAAATAGAGATATGACTTGTTATAAAAGTTTCCTAAAATGCTACGGGCATGTCCTGTCTTTGTTCTGCACCAGCACATTCCTACAGTATATACTTGTGTCTAAGCCTAATCATTAATTGTTTTTTTTTTCTTCACCCAAATTAGGGTGGTGCTGGCTTCTGGGTGAGTACTATTTTAAAAGTAACCAAATTTAAAAGTAAACCAAAAAAATAGTGTTGGGGAAAAAAATAGAAATAACTAATTTTATGGTAGTTCCCAGACAAATTTTAAGGCTTGTAAAGTCTTATCAATTTAAGGAAGAAAAATAGACTCTATTGTAGGGTTTCTTATTGTCACTGATTACCATAGTAACCAAGTGTGTATCTAAGAATATTGTAGTTACTTTTAAAATAAACATTTGAATGCCAGGAAATGCATAGGTAAGGTTCCACAGACAACTTTATCTTTGCAGCAGTGGGTAGGCTATCTACCACCAATTTTATTAGGTCAAACCACATGTGTTGTCTCCAGTACAAAATCGCAAACTGTAAGTCTCCTGGATCTACAAAACCCACCTAAACACACAGTTCTTGGGTTCAACCACCAGCACGTTGGTATGTGCTTGATCAGAAAAACAGAATAGAAATCTGAAAAATTAGAAGACCTTTTTAAAATAGCTACAAAGAAAAAGGGCACATTGTTAAGGGTGTTGGCTAATAAATTTATTGAACTGCTGACAAATATTCTTAGGGAAAGTTTCTGACAACTGGAGAAGAAACCAGAAGAGTGAGGGGAAACGCATGCAATCCTGATTTTCAAAAATGAAAAGAGTAGCCCTATCAATAACCAGGAAAACTGCATTGCTTTTTCTGATAGATTTGCAAAACTAGTGGTTGGGATGAATGCAGTGGATGTATTATATGCAGATTTAACTGTATCACAATCCTAGCTGGGGAAAATTAATTCAGATTTAGTTGAGTAGCAACAGTAGTCTGGATTGAAACCCAGTTTAAGCCTCTAATAAAGGGTAATGGTAAATAGCAATGTGTGTGGTGGTTTGTTTTGTTTCCCCCAAGGGGATTGAAAGAAAGGATGCGTTGGGGAGTGGGATGAAACCCAGATTTGTTAACCATCAAGCCTGCCTGTATTTTTATTCAGGCATTTGAAGAAGGAGGTGAGTTAAAGGTAAGTGAATAGTAAGAGATCTGGATTTTAGGATTAATACTATTATCAGAATTCAGGGCAACTGCACCTATTTCCTCTCTGTGGTCCAGCAAGGGCACCTGCTTCCAGCTCCCCAGCTGTTGCCTTTCTTGGGTGGAGACTCATGTCTCACTCCCTTCTGACTGAGATATTTCCAGACTGCACAGTTCTCTGCCTTCACTGTGTTGCTTTCCCTTCAGAGACTGAGAAAGTGATCGTCAACAGTTATAAGTTAGCACACAGCTCTTTCTGTGCAAGCCCGATTTTATTCTTAAGGTAAAAACACTACAGAGAAAACATATTCAAAATAAAATAACCTACACACATGCTACTTAACCTTACCGGATATCACCCCAAATCTAACATGAGCTCTGGCAGGAGCAGTCCTTGAAACCCAAAAGGCGGGGTGTTCCTTTGTGGTCACAAGTTCATCACAACTTCAGCTCACAAAAAGCATCCAGTCTTATGGGGCCTCAGCAGGTCCAGTTCTTCTGACCCTACCCTAAGGATTGGGCCCTCTGTGGACCAGGGGTCCTGTCTGTTTGCTGGAACAGGAAGAAAACATTGAGCCAATTTAAAACCAGGCTGTTTTATCCAAAAACCCTTTCTTTGTCTGTTGGTCTCTGGAGAATCCATTTTGAACTAGTACCTGTGTACTTCTCCAGGGGGATGGCTTCCAGTGACTGATAAGGGGCGAAGTACATTAGCATCCCTCTCCTCCTAGAGAAGATGCATACAATGTCACAATAACACATACACAACTGCATCTTTAATACAATGTAATCCAAATTCAATAAGATTTAACTTAATTCAGTAAAGTTGTCTCAATTCCACAAGGTTTGTTCCGAATGTTACAGGATCCAGCCAATATGTCACAATTATTAAGTGTGGATGTTTCTGTATATTATTAACTTGATTTTTTTTTAATATTCTG